CTAGTTTATTTTTTTCAAATACTTTGAACATTATGATAAATATACACCCCAGTATTGTAAGGGAGTTCGTATAAGCCTGATTCAATATTGCTTGCCAAATTTACTAGTTCTTTTTCTGTACACTCTTTCAAAATTTCTCACAGAAACTAAAAATTGATCCAATATACGAATAAACTAATGATATTCTTCAGTTGATATTAATAGGTTTTGTAGTCCCATACAAGTATGATTAACTTAACAATTTGAGCCGTTGTTTAAGGTGTTTTCGAAATAATTTAAATCTAGATTATTCTTTGATTTCACAGTAGGTTCTTGTGTAAAAAGATAGTAACCAGTTTTAATATCTAGCCGACGAAAACGAATTATAGGTCAAGAAAATTCTAGCATCTTATATGATTCTAAGTTGTACTTCTCGACACACTCTTATTAATATCAATAATATTATGGTTGGAAAATCCGAATAATCTGTAACACCATATTAATACCATTAACGTTTGTTAATCACTAATATACTTGTACTTTTATTCACTGAGTATATTGTTGTAACAATTTGTAACAGAAATCATATGTAAATATGTTTTGCTTCTTATAGCATTTCCCCACTCCATAATGTCAAGATTCCATCTAATCCAGATGTTCAATATCCAGCTTTATTGATTTTAACTGCAGATCATGATGACCGTGTTGTTCCGTTACATTCATTCAAGTTTATTGCTACTTTACAAGAAAAATTATGTCGCAACTGTCGCCAAACAAACCCTATTCTGATTCGAATTGAGCCAAAGGCTGGACATGGACAAGGTAAACCAACATCAAAATCAGTAAGTTTACAAGCAAATAAATAATTCAATCAAGAATCGTTGAAGTAACAAAAATCTAGTTGCTAAGTCATACTGCCAACCGCATTGGGATAAGATGGTACTGACGGATAACGAGTGTCTCCAGTGATCCTGGCTCCTCACAACAGAAGAGAAAAGCTTGTAAATCATGACCATGCGGAGAATTAAAAGCTTGTCGCCAGCACGTCGTAAACTACTCACAAAAGGCTTTGACCGACTTGCAGTACTGTTTTAGACGTTTCAATTAGGCTCCCAAGTCGTCAAAACCATTACCAACTCAGCTTTTTCTATTGTCCATTGAATTTCGCGAAATGTCGCTCCAAACGACGTTGTTTTCGATGTCTAGTCCTTGTGTCATATCAAACAAGCTTGTTGAGCTAAGACTCTAGAATCTCGAGCGATCGGCACACGTTGTTTCTCCTGAGGTCGCGTACAGAATTGAAGTGTGGTCATTCACGTGATCCCGTCTGACAAGTAAAAAATCTAATACGGCCCACCCTTCGTATACCAGGAGACTTAACAACGACCACTCGTGATCTTGTAACAGACACTTTGAATGAGAGCTTCCTATAAAGATTACTGATGAAAGTGCTTTTCTCTTTCCGATTAACAACTCAGAAAGACAGGTGAATCACGTTGGCTTTTCGTCGTTTTATACCTACTCCGTCACCACGCTGAAAAATAGCTCGTTATGTTAGCGTCACAACCCACCAAGCAGACAACTAATCGTCTGTTGCATACTCAATCAACCGCTTGTTCTTGCCAAGTACCAAAGTATGGAGCAGGCTGCAAATGTTCGGTTAAAGGTGCCTTAATACCATTCTCGCATGTTATACAACAAACGAGTGAGCAACGCTGAGGTTAGTTGTGAGATATTAGGCAAAGATGCTAAATCAATTGATGTTGTCAATCCTCAGCAACTAAGATACCTGGGACATAAGTGTGACCAACTACCGACAACCATAACGTAGAATAATAGCTGGACTGGTAGTAGGTTTAAAGTGAGGTAGAGGCGCCCAAACCAAGACTAAGCATTAATCCACGAAATCACAGACTACTGGACTATGTCGTGGTGGTAGATCAAAAACTACCGAGTCAGTAGTCGGAGACATTGGATAGTATAACTTAGAACCGTTTACAGTGGCACACATGCATTCGCTTATCTTTATGCGGATTTTGAGTTACAGTACTATTTCATACGTAATTTTTCCGGAAACACATTCTCATTGTTCCGTGTTTTTTACTGCTGATACTTGCTATGTCTCGGTAATATCCTTTCATCGTGCTGATGTGGTATGACTACTAGGGTTGACGCACATCTATGCTAGGCTTTATGTAGATTTTGATCGACTGGTTTATTATATGAAATATGGATGTCGGATGACCACAGTATTTTCGTTAAGCGATTTGTTCATCTACTTGTGGGCTTTAGTTAAAGAGTAAACTTAATACTCCCTTGCGCTTCCACAGTTTATTTAAAACTCCAGATCTTAAGCAATATCTCAATACTCCTTACCCTATGTAAAATACAAAGATGACCTGAATGGTAGGTGTTCTGACCAGTTTCGTGTGATAAAAAACTGATTAGTTATTATCGAAATTTCACTGGAATGCAACTAACATGTGTCCAACTCGATGAAAACTCAGGTTTACATCTTAATTTGTATTTAAAAAGTTTGCTTGTCTGTCACCTTCACTGTTGTAGTAATAAGTATTATCAATCACATTTTATTCTTATTGTGCATATATTCTATTATATGCCAATGTTACTGAAATATTTATAAATATATATAGCAAACCATTTTTAGTACTCATTAATTGTACCTTGCATTTCTATGCATACCGTGATGATTTGCATTTCAGATTAACGAGGTAGTAGATATATACTCCTTCTTACAAACTGCAATGTCACTCACATGGAAAGAATAATATGGATTGTTATCGCAATTACTAGTCTTTGAATTTTTGGTACCTAATAATCTCGTCGCTGTTGTCAATATCTATAGATTAATTTTACTAACTGCCCCCGATTTGATTTGTATGAAGATCGTCTGTGGTGCTTTGTTTATTTATTAACATTCTTGGCTTTCATATATATATTTCGTGTAACTAAACCAAACTTATACATTTGTTATGGCGCATTAAAAAATATTTAATGATATTACCAATCGGTTGATTCACTGTTCATCTTTACGGTTTGATAGTTTGGTAGATTTCAACGGTGGCTTGTAATTTTTTCTTTGTAAAACGATATGTAATAATAAATAATACGTAACCGATGGTAAATAACAAACCGACATTATTTCCCTCATCAATAAAACAGACACTTATCCAGTTAGGATTGAAAGGTTCTATAGCCAATGCTACACTATTTGCTATATATGCTTTGTTAGATTTCATGCTCACGTTTCACCTAAAGGTAACTGTTATAATAAACTAAATGCCAAATTTATTTTTAAAAATAATGAGCTCGGTAAAATCCAGGTATGTTGTGCATCCAATTATTAGCCGAACAGCACATAAACGACTGTTACAGGGATCCACTCTAACAGTGCTTGTTCCGTCCTCGTACTCGGTGCTATGCCTACACCTGTCAGTCCACGAGAACTGGCCGCCAGATAAACAGAGGGTGTATCTCGTTTTGGCGAGGTGAGGTCAGGTGAATGACCACATTAGGATCCTGTATGCGTGTTTCGGAGGTACAGCATACATCAATGGTACGAGATACTTGACTTTCAGATAACGAGGTCTACTGCCGATTTCACTAAGGGTGCGTACGTTTAAGGCTCTGATGTGTAGCGAGGTTTCAGCAGACCTGGGACAGTGTTTTGCGCACTGGCCATGGTGACACTTGAGGAGGAAGCCAAAAGAGGAAGTTTAGTGTTGAAGGTCGATGTAAAAGGAATAACGGGAACTGAGGAAAGAGGTTGATCATGAATACAGTGGTCTTGAGTGCTGATAGAGATATGAGGGCAATTATCACCTCCCGGTTGCTCACACTGTGGAAGGGTTCTTCTGGAGGTACCTGAAAAGTAAACTAGGTTAGGGGTGATCTTAGCGAATCTGAAAGCGTGACCACAGTACACAAAAGACAGCTGCTTGAGGTCGGTCGCACACGACCTTTGTAAGTAATTTTCGTGTTAGTTACGCAGTTGTTGAAACCTTAACGCCGGAGATGGATATCCCTGGGACAAGGCGATGTGTGCATTTATTAGGGCCGACCTTTTCTAACCCCACCCCTCCTTGTGGGAAGGAAGATCGCTGTCATGCTGGTTATCTGAGGGAAGCACCTTACTGCCGTCACACCTCTGTACAGTCAGCAGTACGACTTCACCCTCGGACCTTGGGTTTGCTGCTTTTAGTCTTACTGTTCTACAACCGACCTTGAGGAACGACTTTTCCAGCTGGTATAGCTCTATTGGTTTATCACGATAGGCAAGCCCGACCACCACGTCAAAGTATCAACGGCTGCGAAACGTGGCCATTAAGAGTAGAAGATACTCGTAAGCTACTGGTATTTGACCACATGATTAATAAATATTGCTCGCATTTGCTGGGATCATTGGGTAATTAATAGCGAGGTTAGACACAGGGTATTAGGGAATGATGTTAAATCGGTTGTTGAAGTTGTGAATCTTCGTCGACTGAGATGAACGAACCAAATGTTAAGTATACCTGAACACAGATTACCACAGCGTTCAATGCTGACAACTGTCGGGGATCGTTGGAAGAAAATCAGGGGAGTCCAAGCCAAAACATGGCATCAGTGCTTGAAGTCACTAACTTCTAATCTTAGCCATGTTGATAGATGAACACTACTTGATTAGGGTTCGCGCGACTATCTTAAACCAATGTTTGGCGACTGTGGGTGACATGGCTCAGAAATGATCACAATGGCGTAGGTGTATACACTTTCTTTCTTCCCTTAAACTATGAGATTAAAATTATTTCATATCTTTCTGTACTATATCCTTACATAAAATCTTTTCTCTATATATTACACGAATCAGTTAACTGCTATGAATCCAGTGTTCGTCTTTCTGTGCTAATAAGGTGTGGCAACTTGTACCGATGCATATATATGCCTCGTCCTACGTTGTAACTGACTTATTGCATCCAATCCTATTAAAAGGACTTTCTCGGATTAAAAACAATGGGGATAACTACATAACATGAGATATTTCACAAAAGATAAAGTCAGAATGAAAATCAAGTGATCTCAAAAAATAAGTGACAAAATTAATTAAATTCAACAGCGAATGGTCAAAGATGATTATGGTAACTTAAAAATGAGCTTTGCAGTGTCAGTTATTATGACGCCTACTGCTGCATTCGGGGACTGATTCGTTGTTTCTTACGCCAACAATCTTTTCGACACCTGAAAGTTTATCAGGACAATGGAGATTTTTCGTAATGATATGCGCAGCTCTTAATGGACGTGATAAAGGCATTGAAGCATGTACATCGGACACATGTAGTTCACTTTTACATGAAATCAGCTTTTTATATTCTTGTAAACATTCATTTTCTTCTGTACTGTTTAAAATAACATATCGTCGTTCATGTGATGGGGATGCAGATCCTGGTCGGTTTCGAAGATTTAGTTGTGCGCCTCCCTCAGAGATACAGTTTTCATCCACATAACATTCGGCTTCAACATCCTCGTCTATTTCATCTTCACTCTCACTATAGCATCTGAATGCTACTGAAGGGATTTCAAGTGGTTGACGATGCCTAATTCTAGTGTGAGCAGGAGATGATGAATGTCCAGCTGAGGGTGATAGAGCACTATTCCGAGGAAAAATTATAGAGCGGACAGCACGGGGTTCAGATGGTAAAGAATTCGAACGCAAATCAAACGTAGAAAATGATGGTGATGAAACTGAATGTAGTGCTGCATGCCTTGGAGGGGTTGACACAGGCTGAAAAATAGGAAAATCGTGATACTAAACTAGACACTAAACAACCAAAGATTAATTGGTTCAGGATGAATTAAATTTCAGCACTGAAACAGACATAGGACTTATAAACAACTGTGTGGTTAACAGGATATGACTGACCTGGGAAGTCACCACTGTTAAGGAGTTTTCTGCGAAATCTGTAGTTTTGGAAGTTGATAAGGTCTGAGATCGAAGTCCAGATGTGTTGTCGCCTTGGAACTTTTTAGTGGGTGAATCTGATAAGACGGTGCATGAATGTAGATGCGGAATTTCAGCTTTTACTTCGTTATTTTTCGAGTCACATAAAACCACATAACCAGGATTGAAACCTCCAATACGAGAATTTGGTATGGTAGATGACAAACCGATTGAAGCTAGGCCTAACTTATTCATCCATTTTGATCGGTCGATTTCAGAATCAGAAGCGAACACAAAGCGAACCCAATCATTGAAAATTGAGAATGCACTAACATGAATGAAATATGAAAAACCACATGACATTACTGAGAGCTATTCAAATGAACTAACCCAAGTTATTCGTTTGAAACAGCTGTTATTTCCTCAAATCTAGGTTAACAGAGCTATGGAATTAGAACACCAGTGTTATTGAGTGCTGTTAGTGGTATGGTGGCAGTCATCACTTCCCGGTTGCTCACACCATGGAATGGTTCTGGAGGTACCTGAAAAGTAAATCAGGTTAGGGTGACCTTAGTGACCTGAAAGCGTGACCATGGTGCTTGAGGTTGGTCACACCTTTCTGTGTTAGCTCCGTAATTGTTGGGACCTTATTGCTGGAGACGGTAGCCCTGGGACATGGCGAGGTGTGCATTTGTTAGGGTCGACCTTTTCTAACCCCACCCCTCCTTGTGGGAAGGAAGTTTCGCTGTCATGCTGGTTATCTGAGGGAAGCACCTTACTGCCGTCACACCTCTGTACAGTCAGCAGTACGACTTCACCCTCGGACCTTGGGTTTGCTGCTTTTAGTCTTACTGTTCTACAACCGACCTTGAGGAACGACTTTTCCAGCTGGTATAGCTCTATTGGTTTATCACGATAGGCAAGCCCGACCACCACGTCAAGGTAGCAGCAATGGTCAGGATCGAAACACCATGATAGTACTAGTTAGGTAAATCATATAACTACGGTTTGTGTGTTAATAATAATAGCAATTAGTAAGTAGATAGTTATGGTTAAATCAGTGTTTAAATAGAAAGGAATCTCCGATACATGTATATCAATTTCTAACCTTCAAACTATTATGTAGTATTGTCGTGTGCACTACCTATTTAGACGGACATAAGCATTATGTAGCAGGAATTGGAAGTAGAATGTTACTAGAATGAAGATGTAAAGGACAACTGAAAAAAGATGTGTAAGTGATGTACTCAATGTATGATTTTCGTGTTCTACAAAGCTATTGTCTGATTTTGCATAAAACAAAAAATTAGTTTACCGTACATGAATTTTTGCTTACTGGAATATATCTGTAATCCAGAATGCATTGATCATACATACAAGCCAACCGACATATAGAGAAATTTCTCGATTGCACACCATGACTGTGAAATGAACTTTAAAAGGGCAATATTACGTTGCACTGATGATTTTGAATCATCAATCTACAGCTTCGAAAAAGTGGAACGGGGATTTTTAAGGGTTGTTTCATCGTGTAACGAATGTTTTACTTAAATGTCTCTTCAACTTATAATTACTATGGTAAACCATGATATTCTTCGTACGTAAATTAACTATGAACGGCTTTTTAAGCTGGAAGCTCAGCAAGCCCATGGATTTGTGTTAGAAACTAGCAAAGACGATATACTGTAGCAATCAACTAGCGAATCTTAAGGCGAGAATACCGTGTAGTAGTCTCCTACAAATTTTGTTGTTGATGGGGTCTATATTGAGCACATCCTATAATTCTAATAGGTGCAATTGAAACGACTTACAATTTTCCCGATTTCGCTGAGACTGCAGGAGTGATTGTGAAACCATGCAACAGAATTAAACCTTCAGCTGAATCATCCTAAAATAAGGGAAACAAATATTTTCCTATTTTTAAAAAACAAGTTAGAACATTACTTCAGGATTTCTGTAATAATAGAACGTTGAGTTTTTGTAAACACACCATCGCTTCACATATTTACTGGTAAGTGGGTTGGTTTTCTTCAACCAAAGCCAACCTTGACAATCTCCCTGTCCAAGATCCTTGCAGGATATACGACGAGCTATATGTAAAACATGAAATTAAAAATCCATAAAAAACAGTGGACATAAAAAAGTCAATGTACTGCTTTTGCGTAGAAAGACCCAAAAGTGTTATGCATGTTTACCATGCAGTTGGATTACCTTTCCACTTAAAATTTGCAAAAAATAATTTCTCTTTATCCACCAACGACTTCGGTTAAGTATAGGACAAATATTACCTTAAATGCACCACGGAACAACTTATCAATGATAAGGTTTCAATAAATAAGCTCAATTAAATAAGTGGAGTTTCACTGAAATCATGAACCGACCAATGATGGTCTAACATTGATCCGTCCACGATTTCAATGAAACTCAGCTGATCTCTACGACACCATGCCGTAAATAAGTAGAATTCGAAATTTTCGATCTCCTGGGTACTGATACAAGGCAATGAGCTTGTAGTTAAATACCATAACCCTCTTTTCAATCTACGACCAGTGTCAATAGAGTAAATAAACCGACTAATCCATATAAAATTTTTAAATAGTACGGTACTTCTGATATTAGACAAGACAGAACATATTTAATGTTTTTAAAAATTGCTTGAATCAAAGTGAGTGGCTCGCATTCATCGTTTTTAAGTAACATTAGTTGATAACCGGCTATTTTAATTAGTAAGCTTCCCGCTGAAAAACGATTATGACAATTATAACTTGAAAAAGAAACAATGTTAAAATGTCCGTGTAAGCAGTTTACGTATTAGTTTATTACACATGTTGGGATTTATTAATTTCGAAGCAGAACAGGATTGGGATATTAGCAAAAGAAGGATAAGTAGAACTTACTTGGTTTTCTTGATCCAAATCCATGTTTTAAAAAAAGCATGAAATCATCAAGACTAGAACGATGAAGCTGTAAAAATAAAACACGCACAATATGATGTTGAGTGGGATACTTAAGGGTACATAATGATATAGTAATGTTATGATTTGAATTATTTTTCTGGTTAGTGTTTTTTAGCGAGTTAGTTTTCTACGGGATGGGGTCGCTAACCACATGCCCAACCCTCCTCCTTTACCCGAACTTGGGAGCAGCAGTAACTCTAGAAGAGCTACAGGCTCTCAACAACAGGTTCCAAGCCTTACAGGATCTACTGAAGGAAGGAGAAACTACTATGGAGGACAACAGAAAAGGTATCAAAGAAGCATTAACTTCAACGTGTCAAGAGGTTCTGGGCCTAAAGAAGCATCATCATAAAGAATGGATCTCTATAAAAACATTGGACAAGATCAAAGAAAGAAAGAACAAGAAGACAGCAATTAACAACAGCCGAACACGAACAGAGAAAGTTCAAGCACAAGCTGAGTACATAGAAGCAAACAAGGAAGTGAAGAATAGCATTAGAGCCGACAAGAAGAAATACGTGGAAAAACGCAACGACGGCGGAAAAAGCTGCAAGAGAAGGAAATATGAAACAGCTTTACGATACAACGAAGAAACTAGCAGGGAAATATAGTGAACCAGAGAGACCGGTCGAAGACAAAGAAGGCAGGCCAATCACTGAGATTCAACAACAGCGGATCAGATGGGTAGAGTACTTCGAGGAACCCAACTTCGAGATCAACAAGCTGGATTCCGTAAGGATCGGTCGTGCACAGATCAAATTGCGACACTACGGATCATCGTTGAACAATCAATTGAGTGGAACTCGTCACTGTACATCAAATTCATTGATTATGAAAAGGCATTTGACAGTGTAGATAGAAGGACATTATGGAAACTTCTTCGACACTACGGAGTTCCTGAGAAGACTGTCAACATTATCCGGAACCCATACGACGGACTACAGTGCAAGTTCGTGCATGGAGGACAGCTGATAGACACATTTATAGTAAGGATCGGAGTCAGACAAAGCTGTCTATTCTCTCCCTTCCCCTTTCTTCTGGTGGTCGACTGGATTATGAAGACCTCGACATCTGAGGGATAACACGGAATACAATGGACAGCTCAGAACCAATTAGACGATTTGGACTTCGCAGATGAACTAGCCCTCCTATCGCATACACACCAACAAATGCAGATAAAGACAGCTAGAGTAGCAGCAGTCTCTGCATCAGTAGGCCTCAACATGCACAAGGGAAAACCAAGGTCCTCAAATACAACACGGAGAACAGCAATCCAATCACTCCTGATGCCGAAACTCTGGAAGATGTAGAATCCTTCACATACCTGAGAAGCATCATCGATGAACAAGGAGATTCAGATGCAGACGTAACGGCGAGGATTGGTAAAGCAAGGGCCGCATTCCCACAATTGAAGAACATATGGAACTCAAAACAACTTTCAACCAATATCAAAGTGAGCATCTTCAATATGAACGTCAAGAAAGTCAGTTCTACTGTACGGAGCTGATACTTGGAGAACTACAACAACCACCGTCAAGAAGGTACAAGTATTTATGAATTGTTGTCTACGCAAGATACTCAACATCCATTGGCCGGATACCATCGGCAACAGCCTTCTCTGGGAGAGAACAAACCAGCTTCCAGCTGAAGAAGAAATTAGGAAAAGACGATGGAAATAGATAGGACATACATTACGCAAATCATCAAATTGTATCACGAGGCAAGCCCTAACTTGGAATCCTGAAGGGAAGGGGAAAAGAGGAAGGTCAAAGAGCACACTGTGCCGAGAATTGGAAGCAGACATAAATATGATGAATAGCAATTGGAAAAGACTGCCCAGGACAGAGTTGAATGGAGAATGCTGGTGAGCGGCCGACGCTCCTTTGTGAGGTGTAACAGAAGTATGTAAGTAAGTAATGTTATGATTGTATCTTGAAACACTGACCAATACCACGTGCTAAAGTCACTAAACAGAATTTTATGCGTCTACTACATCTATAACTTAGCTTCTCTGACTTGACCAATTACACGCCCTACCATCACCTGACTTTGACCTGAAACAACTGAGTTCTTATTGGCCCGCAGTTCGCAGAATTCTCTTTACATCTGGCCTTGAGCTTGAAGAATTTAGCAATCAGCTTCTACTGTATTCATATTTCAAACAGATGTAGCTTTTATTACAGCCCTACCAAGTCGCAGTCACATCACAAAATAAAAAATAACAACTATACAGGAACGAGTCGTGAATGGCAATGAAAAAGCAAGTTGTAATTAACAGACCGGCAGGAAATTAGAGATAGTAGGTCGTATAATAGTAATTAATGAGTTAACTGAAAGCCTATAATAAATGGAACAATCCCATATTGCTTTTAGTCTAATATCTTATATCTCTAATTTATTTTTGTACAGTACGTATAGTGAGTCTTGTCAAGAAATTCACTTGTAAAACTTACGTTTCTATAGCGTTTATCCAGAGCATGAAACTTAGGAGATGAACTACTACAGTGACGAAGCGACGAAGGACTCGGTTTTTTCTGAAATAACGTATCTGGGAAGATTTTAAAAAATATGTATAAAAGAAACATTATCACTATTAATTTGAGTTTGAATTTTAGAAAATTATGGACAAGACGTTTTTCTGAATTGACAGTATAGAGGCGAATACCAAGCTCCCAGGTGAAAAGCAATTTATTATTTTTGATTACACTGTAAAAGCCTACAAACTCAATACATCCACAATCTGATCAAAAAGTGTCCTGCTTTTCATAAGTCAATCGATCGAATGTTTCGAACAGTCTGCAAAGCATGATGGAAGCCAATCGCTTGGACGCAAACGGCAGTAAACGTATTCCCCGATAGTTGTTGCATAGATGACATAGGACATTTCTAAAAATGGAGGCGATGGTCACTTCATTTTAGCATGTTAGAACACTCTCTAGTTGTCAGACCTTTCAAAACAACCCAATCAATTTTCCTACCAGTGGTTCGCCCCGTAATTTGAAGAGTCAATCAAAAGTAGCCAAATGAGACCACTTGTTGACAATTAGACAAGTCCCAACGGATAAATGCACACCTTTGGCTAAGAGATGGATTGATTTGTTAAGGCATAGAGATGCAATATATACGAATGAGTATTTATACGTGTCATTTGGTAACCCAATAGACTTTCTCTCCCACTTTTGTTTCCTCGCTTAAGTGTTCAGTTGAGGGTTTAGCGCGTAGCACGTTGTGTATCAGCATCAAATCTCGGACCACCTACGTCATGAAAATGAGTCGTCTGGGATTAGTGACTTCTGGTCTATGGTGCTTCAAGAGTTGGAGTTTCTTGAGCATTTTCTTCTAGTTGTATCGGTCGTAACCCGCCATGGAGTACAAGATAGTGGGATTGACAATGATGGGGCAACAGACTAGCTTGACTGTTTCTCGGAAAACTGCCCACTGTGCAAGTCGTCGTCGGATGTTGTTAACTGGCATTTCATTAACTCACACTAGACTTCTTGCTGCCAGTGGTTCGGATGAGTTGAAATAGCTCTCTACATTTGCTAGAAGCTGCTGTTTTCAAATCTGGCACATTTTGATCACCAACTTTCTCGTTCTTCATGAAAATGTTTTAATAAATTCCCCAAACGGATCGATGTCAGCAAATTGGTTGCAGCTTCTGTTGCAACTAAATATCGAACCGAACTAGGTTCAAGGCTACCTACCAGCCCATCAAAAAGTATAGAAGAGCACCGGCTGCATCTGAATGACACCGTAAAAATGGCGAATAAAGTCGCTTGCGGCTTCGCGAAATGTTCCGCTTTTAAGCATCGGGTTTCTACAGGCTTCCTACAACTCATTGAAGTACGTCGGTCTACTCTGGGTGACCGAGTGTTTGACCATAAACGGAAATTCTTCGTGTTGGTTCTGTAACAACTTTCGGGGGATAAGTCTACTTACGATTGCGTCCAAACTATTGGCTTCCGTTATGCTTCATAGATTGTTCAGGACTAACGAGGAGCAGGCTGATTTCCGTTCTCGTCGAGGATGTATTGACCATATCTTCACCCTCCGCCAAAACGTTAGAACACCGTCACACGTATTAGAGGCCAATAATCGTAGTGTTTCTTGACATCAGGGTTGCCTTCGATTCGTGGACAGGACTGTTCTCTAGGACTGTCTATTGAAGAAGGGTGTGCCTGAGAAGTTTACCAACATCTTAAAAGCCCTATATACAAACACCTCAGGCAGAGTGAGGGCATAGAACCACCTCTCTCCACCGTTCCATTCAAGCACTGGGACTAAGCAGGGTTGTCCAATTTCACGATTCCTCTTCAACTTTATTATCGATGACGTTCTGGAAACAGCTCTGATGGATGTTGGTGTGGATTTGTTGGTTGGAGAAAGATTTTTCGACCTCGAGTATATGGATGATATTGTCCTACTGTGAGATAATGCCCAAGTCATGCAATCCGCACTTAATCAATTGGCAATTAGTATCCGTAGGTATGGTATGTGCTTTGCACCTCCGAAGTACAAAGTACTTCTACAAAACTGGCATTTATCCTGGGTAGTGAGCAGACAGAAGTAGTGAAGTTCGTGTATCTGGGTAGCTGAGTAAGTGTTGGTGGTGGTGTGAGTGATGAGACCATTCACGTACAGTGAAAGCCAGAGCGGTTTATGCCAATCTGGGCCATATTTGGCGCCTTCGTGATGTTAGTCTGGCTGTAAAAGGTGAGAGCAGTTTTGCTCTATACTTATGAAACCTGGCCTCTCCGAGTTGAGGGTGTTAGACGACTCTGTGCTTGATCATCGTTGTCTCCGAAGAATTGCTGACATTTAGTGGGAACACCATATTAGTAATGAAGAGTTTCGGCATCGAATGTTTGGAGTTCACCCATGTACTTCAGCAGGAGAAGCAGTCTTTTATTGAGCCTTTTGAATAATGGCTGGTGAAGGCATGCTCTATTTGCGTCCACCGTTCTGATGTTAGAGATCACCAGTTTAGATAGTCTTTTCTCCGACTTAAAGTTTATACTTGCTAAGAATAATCGGTTGTTTGGCCAGCATTACAGCAGACAGTAACCATTTTCTGTTTGTTGGCCTGGGTCTCCACCTAAGTGTTTTGAATTTTGACTTGGCCCACCAACTTAGGAGTTAAAGCCACCTGCTATGAATATTACGCCTTAGCACCTGGCCTAATGAAGGGGGTTGTAAAGTTTCCTGTGAAACTCAAAACGTTAGTAGACGCCGTCCCATGGTAACCAGTGATTAAAAATAGGTTTATACACTATCCGACTCCTCAGGATCCAAGAGCTTATGTACACCTTTGGTTTGGAATCGAGGTTTTTCAACTCCTCTGAGTGGATTCTCTGTATCCACCGGCTTAGTATAAGATCTGGATGTTTGCTTTTCGTCCTCTTATTTCCGTAAAAAAACAACCTCACAGAATGAAGAGAATGAGAAGAACTTTCTTGATAGTGGCTATAAACACATGAGCATGTGAAGGTGCTTTGAATGGACTCTCCCAACTCTCGGTCGTACCAACAAATCCGCAGCTGATTGGTAATGTCCTTAACTGCTGCACTGTATGATGAAGCTTCAAATATCTGAGAAACGAGTATATAAGCTCCGTAAGTATCGGGCTGGACAAAACTTTCACGTAGGATTTTCTGACTGCCTCCAGTTATGTAATACAAAATAACAAAATTGAAGGTATGAAAGAAACTAGAAGATAAAAGCAAAGTAATGAACGAGGGGGAGAAAAGATATGGAATAACAAGGTTATTATGATTTTAAATAAGAGAAATAGTTGCCAGATCTGCAAGACTGGACCGATTTTTTTTAGTCATACTAATCAGTCTCCATCGCAGGCATATACATCAGATTTACAAAACTGACTATCACTCACTGATTTTGTAGATTTCTAGCACATTATGTTTTGATCAAACTTAGCATTTTTCGTAGTTACTATTTCTCAACCCAATGATGATAAATCAGCATGCGCATCATGTACTCCAGTAACTGAAATTTTACTTACTTTGCACAAAGTTTAGCGGTAGACATTGTCATATTTTCACTCGAATGGTTCAAAAGAATTAGTATCTATTTACCCTATCTACTAAGACTATATTTTTGAATAACTTTGGACTAGAACAAATTACTCAGGAAGAGATTGTCAACTATTATTCGTTCTTGGAGCTTTACTTAGGCATACAAATTAAAAAGAATAAGTCTAGTATGCTTTGAATGTCTAATTAGTAAGGAAAAACCAAGCTTACAAGATTACTAGTAGAGATATTCGTTCACGTGAAATCCTGACTCTGTTGCAAGTAAAATGCTCAATTTAGAAAGTAAAATATGTATGTGTCGCATTGGATCTACAGTCGTTTAGTAATAATGGTATAGAGATCTTTTAAACTACTGAAACAACAAGACTTTTGACACTAGGCAGTGAGTAAAATACTGAAAACGAATAATTTAAAATTTTATAGCTCACGACAATGAATGTGGAAACCTGATAAAACAGATAATACGATTAAAACACGTACTCATGTCACTTTTAGCAAAATTAAAAATATTTATTCCAATACAAAACACTATGACATCACCACACTACTCACTAACCTTCCCCATCGCCACCAGATATACTATTCATCAGTTTTGGGTCACCAGAAGCTGTGCGTCGATGTGTTAGGGAGAAACGAGGAAAAACAGATTTGTTTGAAGAACAAGAAGTTGAGCGAATATGATGAGAAGTATTGACAGACTTGTATTTTCTACGGATAATGCAAGGAAAAATATGATTTAGTCCGTGATTATGAAAATAATAGTACTAAAAAGTTAGTTCAGAGTATCACAGATGATTAGAATAATCTAAGACTAAATGAAGTACAAAAGTTGTCTGAAAATAAATCTTTTTACATCCATACTACAACAGTACATAATTCTCACTAGTTATATTTCTAAGGAGGTTATTATCGTGTTCTTCATATCATCAAAAAAAAACCAACCGAGTTAAATAAATTACAAAACATAGTTTCAAACAATAGGGTAATAAACTACGATCTTTTTACCTTATGAACTCCCCAAAAATAAATAATGTTTCTGAGTTTCAGAACGAACGGCACTTGATGTCAAAAACCAGATTATACTTGGGAGAAATTTCAAATTAAATCTGTTTTTCCCTAACCCTTATTTCACTGGATTATACTCTTTAAATAACATCTTCAAACCCTAATCTTTCCGATTACTGCTTATACTCTTACCGCCTTTACCACTGCGGGATTTAAATCTACAACTGCATCTCTGTGCTAATGTGGTGTGGCAACTCGAACTGATGTGCGTACGTACGAAGTTCTACGTTGTTACTGACTGACTGAGCCCCCGAATGCCCTGGTACGGCCGAGAGTGGGGAGAGTCCGCTCTCCCTCTCGAAATACTATCACATGGCCACGCGTATACAGCCTCTGCCAGGGAAGTCCTACTCACTGCCTTCTCGTGGCGGGGGTGTTGTTTACGAAAATGAGAGGACGGAAAGCGAATGTCCGGCGCTTTAACCGGATTCCAAATCAATGGTGCACATGGGCTCCAGTATCCTGCGGGAACAAATGGCGTATGAACCAATTGTTGGTCACCGGCTTCCATGGGACTGCATCTCCTGACGATGCTCCAGTGCCTTGTGGATCAGACCTTCAGGTCGAAGGCTCGGGGAGTGGCCCCCTAAGAAAACCACCTGCTTCGGTTTGGGCACCCGGGTAGTATCACAGCCCTCACACATATCGAATGAGATTTGCGTGGCGCATATGTATTTGGTGCCTCTTTGTACCATTATCTATGTGTTAAAATAAAATAAAAACTGACTGACTGAATGCTGTGTTCTAGTTGTACCTAAACACTTTCATCATCTAAACAACCAAAAGTTCAATAAAAAATGAACTGAAAATGAAATCATACGAAAGGTTATCCACACAAGATATGTAGTCATCATGAAAGTGAGTCTGATAAATCGTAGTTAATCGTTAATGCTGCATCCAGAGGTGCATTGACTAGAAATGTGAATCTGCTCGTAATAAAGTCACAAGAATATAGAACTTAATGAAAATTCTGTGATCGAACGCATTTGCAAAGCGTTCAACTACGAAAGCAACAAAAAGTATATCTTAGGAAAGTAGGCTTACTATAGAAACATGCTAAAAAGAGAAACGAAAAATTCCACGTTAAATCCCGATATATGAACCTCTTTTTTAAAGTAAGTGAATTCGCACATGAGGTAAATGACGATTGACAATGAATCAAACGGATGTATGGCAATTCGAAAACAAGAGTGTTACTTTCAGTAGTTATACTCTTACTGATCTAGGGTTGCGGTATAAGTTAAAAATACATTATTCATAGTGTGACATCTATTAATCATCTAGCTTATAATGAGAAAACGAGTAACTAGGGTCGCTGTCACGAGCTAAATTTGGGTATTACTCAATGTTACAGTAGTTTGTAGAATACTACTACTCTTTTACGACACCTTATATATTAGTAAATGTCTGCAAAGAATGTGAGAGATGGAAGCCGGATTGGTCATACCTACTTTTGAGCTCTTGAAGTAATATTAATAAACTGCAAATAAATTCAATTGTTATGTGTTTGGAAACGGCCAGTAGATGCTATGTTCTAAATTTTATCGATGCAATTGGGTCAGTAAGATGGAAAAGAGGTAGTACTGGTTACTCTTTGGTGACCGGTGTGTGCTTCATAGAATTATACAAGCTTTATTGAGATATGAATAACCTATTAGTAAATTTCCCGAGTAGTTAATATCTGAATTTCTGAAAGAACATGCTTCTCAGTTAACGATACCTTTGCTGGTGAGTGTTAAATATAGTCAGTCAGTCAGTTAGCTACAACGTAGGACCAGGCACATATGTGCATCGGTCCAGGTTGCCATACCGCATCAGCACAACAAGATGAACACCGGATTCATAGCATGTAAGAGAAAGATTGCATATAGAGATATAGTACAAGAAGAAAGAATTGGTTCGTAGAAAGAAAGATAAGAAGTGATTTTAATCTCTTAGTTTAAGGGAAGACAGGGAGTGTATACACCGACGCCATTGTGATCGATTCTGAGCCATGTCACCAAGAGTCTCCAACCATTGGTTACGATAGTCACGCGGACCCCAACCAAGTAGTCTGCATCTGCCAACATGGCTCAGACTAGAAGTTAGTGACTTCAAGCACTGATGCCACGTTTTGGTTTGGCCGCCCCTAACTTTCTTCCAACCATTTCCAAAACCGGATAGCATTGCACGTCGTGGTAGTCGGTGTTCAGGCATACGTAATACGTGGCCCAACCATCTCAGTCGATGAAGATTCATAACCTCATCAACTGATTTACCATCATTTCCTAATACCCTGCGTCTAACCCACTATTACTTACCCGGTGATCCCAGCAGACGCCAGCAATATTTCTAAGGCATCTGTGGTCAAATAGTAATAGCTTACGAGTGTCTTCTACTCTTAATGGCCATGGTTCGCTGCCGTAAAGTAAAACAGAACGGACTGCCGCGCAGTATACTCGTCCTTTTATTGATATACGGATATCTCGCCTTCGCCATAGGTGACGCAAGTTGGCAAAAGCCAAACGAGCTTTTCGAATCCGTGCTGAGATTTCGTCCGATACCAACCCATTAGGGCTGATCAGACTTCCAAGATAAGTGAAGTTGTCAACGCGTTCAACTACTTCACTCCCTATCCTTAGTTCAGGTGTTGACGCAGACCAGTCCTGAAGCAACAACTTGCATTTAGAGGGAGAGAAGCGCATTCCAAACATCCTGGCATTGTTGCTCAGTGCTACCAGAAGACTCTGCATTTTGTCAGCGTCTTCACCAAACAGGACTATGTCATCTGCGTATTCTAAGTCGATAAGTGGACCTCCTGGTAGGAGATCAATACCCGAGAACTCAGTCGACGAGAAAGTTATTTCCATCAGTAGATCTATGATGAAGTTAAACAGAAATGGGGAAAGTGGACAGCCTTGACGGACACCACTTGAGGTTGCAAAAGTAGATGACAGTTCGCCATAAGCTCTGACTCGACTAGTAGTGTTCGAGTAAAGAGCCTTCACAAGGTTTATGTACTTCTGGGGTACGCCTTTCAATGACAGACACTGCCACAGAATCTCGCGGTTTACCGAGTCAAATGCTGCTTTTAAGTCGAGAAAGACCACCATCGTCGGACGCCGATAAGTATGCCTGTGTTCTAGAATCTGACGAATGGTGAATATGTGGTCGATGCAGCCACGACCAGGTCTAAAGCCAGCTTGGTTCTCTCGTGTTTGCAGTTCACGAGTCTTAGTTAGGCGTCTGATAATTATCGAGGCTAGTATTTTAGATACTATATTAGTTAAACTAATCCCTCTGTGGTTGTCACAGGATGATTTTGACCCTTTCTTATATATTGGGACGATAAGTGATTGTGACCAGTTAGATGGAATAACGTCTAACTCCCAGATTTTAGCTAAAATATTAGTCAACTTAATCGCTAAAATTGGACCACCATCCTTAAAGACCTCTGGAGCCAATCCATCTGGACCAGCTGCCCTTCCTCGTTTCAGATTAACTATAGCCTTTTGAACTTCAGCAAGAGTTGGGGGACCTACTTCAATGTTCCATCCACACTGTCTGGGAATGTTAAATATAGAACCTAATCCCACAACTTTCTTCCAGTTGTCTATAGCAATTCAACATCAAGTTCACCGTGATTCCAGTTCACATACCTTAAATACTACTACTGACTTGAACAACAGGATTTGGTTGGGAATAACCAAAAATATTGAGATTAATTACTCAATTTTCTTTATGCGTCTTCTCAATAGTTACTTACTTGGAGTATGTTATATCAGATGAGACCACACTAGTATCGTTCATTCCGTTGTCAAACGTTGTAGTACCAGGATGCGCAGGTGGAAGGTGGGGTGGAAACGATAGCGAAGAATGAGAACACACCGAGTCCATTGATCGTAAAGTCATTAATGGAGTATTTGGTGTACTAGCAATAAGCCTCGAGTTATTGTAAATTATGGATTCATTGCTGGAATTCGGTCTAAAAGATATATGAGCACGATTTTCTAGATTGCAAGGATCATCATTTATTTTTATTGATGTACCCTGATGCACAGATAAAGAAGACGTCGGAGAAGAGGAAAGCAACCCAGACACACTAACTATGGATTGAGATTCAGGTGATGTTGATGTAGGTGAGGAAACAGATGTTTGATCGGAGGTGGTTTCTTGAGTAACAGACAAAGGTTCTGTAGAAAGTGGGCCTGTAAGAGGCAGACGACGTTTTGGATTTCTGGTAAATATATACGCACCTCGCGTCTGGGATAGGCTCCCAGCAGGTGGTATCTGGTTGACTATTAGGCGATGACGCCGCCCAGCTCCTGGAAAGCCAATAAAATCGTTGGAATGAGAGGGTCGCTTTCGCAATCGCAAACTAATGTGCTGTGAAGAATGCCGCATTAAGTCAGCGACGCGATAGTGAAGCCAACCAATCTGATAAAAAACAGAGATAAACAGTAAACGTTCGATTATTATAAAAGTCCTATGAAAGTTTAAGGGCGTACTTTTAGTTTAAGCTGAAGTCACAAGAAAACGGAAATTAAGTCACATGAAATATCAGTCAATCAATCACCAACAACGTAGAACTTCGTACGTTCGTACATCAGTTGCCATATGCCGCATTAGCGCAGAGATACAATTGTCGATTCAAATCCCATAGTGGTAGAGGTAGTAAAAGTATAAACAGTAATAGGAAACATTAGGGTTTGAAGATGTTATTCAAGGTATATAATCCAGTGAAATAAACTTGGAAAGAGAAAAAATAAGGGACATGAAGAATTCAGAAGATTAGAATTTGAGAGAACACAAAGAGTGGACGCACCTGCGCCATAGCAAACGATTTTGAGCCATATCATTTAAGGTCTCTAACCATCGGTTGCTATCATCTCGCGGTCCCCAACCAGGTAGTCTACACCTACCAACATGGCTCAGTTCACTGGTCAATGATTTCATGGATTTTTGCGATGTTGTGATCTGGCCGCCCCTAGCTTTCTTCCAACCTACTCCTACACCATAAAACATCACTTGTCGAGGCAGTCGGTGGTTGGACATATGTAACACATGTCTCGGACATCTCAACTGATGAATTTTCACTACTTCATCAATTGATTTGCCATCCTTACCTAGTACCTGTTTCCTAACAACTGCATTACTTACTTGGTGGTCCCAGGATATACTAGCAATGTTTCGAAGAGACCTATGATCGAATACTAGTAACCTATGAATATCCTCTACTCTTACCGACCATGTTTCACAGCCAAAAAGTAGAATGGAACGAACTGCTGAGCAGTAAACCTGTCCTTTGGTTGGTAGACGGACATCTCGCCTACACCATAAGTGACGCAATTTGGTAAAAGCTAGTCGAGCCTTCTGTATCCATGCTGAGATTCCGTCATACACCAGACCACAAAGGCTGATGAGACTCCCAAGATAAGTGAAGTGGTCAACACGCTCAACTACTTCACTCTCTATTATTATTTCAAGTGCCGATGCAACCCAATCCTGAAGCAAAATTTTGCATCTCGAGGGGGACAACCGCATCTCGAACATGCTTGCATTGTTGCTTGAGGTGGTCAACACGAAATGTCGATAAGGAAGTGAGATGTTAGCAAATGAGTAGTAATCTTCTTAAATAGTTTCTGAATGTTTGTAACTCAGTGTATTATAATGAGTAATATGCTGCACATAGTAACTGCGGATACAGACAATTTTTAATATAGCATACCGTAAAGGGACATATATATTACATACTTACAACTATTTGTTCATTTACTTCGATTACTTCATCTCCTTTGGTAACTTTTCCGGTACTAAATGCTGGGGACTGAAACAAGAAAAATAAAAAGTAGCATTCATAAATGGCCTCCAGAAGTCTAAACATAATTTAAAACGTGTAGTAAATAAATAAAAATGCTATTTCGATCAACTGCAGCACAAATATTTCCTTAACGTAGTATCTTCTATTCCCAAAAGCTCTGTCAATGCATTCTTACATACTCCTATCACGCTTCGTGGAAAAACATAGGTCGCTAACCAGAATTCCCCATCCAACTCTGTCCTGAGCAATCCTTTCACGTTGTTTCCAGCTGCCATTCATCTTATTCATGTCTGCTTCCAATTCTCAGTGCAATTTGTTTTTAGGCCATCCTTTTTTACGTTCCCCTTCAGGATTCCATGTTAGGGCTTGGCCCGGTGATGCAGTTTGATGTTTTCCGTAATGTATGTCCTATTCACTTCCAACGTATTTTCCTAATTCCGTCTTCAATTGGAAGCTGGTTTGTTCTCTCCCACAGCAGGTCGTTACTGATGATATCCGGCCAACGGACATTGAGTATCTTGCGTAGACAATTGTTTAGAAATACTTGTACCTTTCTGATGATAGTTGTAGTAGTTCTTCGTACAATAGAACTATCTTGACGTTCATATTGAAAATCCTGACTTTGATATTGGTCGACAGTTGTTTTGAGTTTCATATGTTCTTCAACTGTAAGAATGCTTCCCTTGCTTGGCTAATCCTCGCCTTTATGTCTACATCAGATCCTCCTTGTTAATTGATTATGCTGATGTTAGTGGGTCATACATTGGATTAAAGCATGTTTCGTGCACGATTGTGTTGGTTCACACTGATTGTTTATTTCTTATTCAGTCAGCGCTAGTCGATACTTGAAGACTCTAGAATCTTTTCACGTAAAAACTACAAATATATAATAACGTTTTTCTTATTGGGCTTCTTACTTCCACCTACCCTTGTTATTTGAAATATAACTTCTTTCCTGTTCGATCGTGTTCTGATTTGGGGACTTCTCAAGTGAATTGGTACCCGAGAATACTGAGCAATGCGAATAGCTGGGTTGTAATAGGAGGAATTGTGACAGCCGACAAGGTACCTGAGTTTCCACCTCTGTCAGAGTGTGATGCCTTTGTAGTTTTCACATTTGCTCATATCTTATTTCGTTGGCATCTTGATAAGGTTTTCTTTCCAGTCTGTCGGCACTTGTTCTTCCTCCCAAATCTTTCTGAATAGAACATGGAGCATGTTTGCAGTTACTTCTATGTCTGACTTCATTGCTTCGATTGTTATACTGTCAGGTCCTGCTGCTTACCCACTCCTGATTTCTTCGATCATTGGTGGAGTGGCAGTTATGAGTGTCTGTATGTACTACTTCAATTTCCGGTGGGTTCAGTGGGGCTAGTCTATTCAAGAGTTCTTCAAAGTGTGATACACACCTGTCCCTCTGTTCTTGGATCTTAGTGATTGGCTTGCCTCCTTTGTTTTTGACCAATCTCTCTTGTTTATTATATTTCCCTGCTAGTTTCTTCGTTGTGTCATATAGCTGCCTTATATTTCCTTCTCTTGCAGCTTTTTCCGTTGTCTTTGCTAGCTCTTGCACGTATTTCTGCTTGTCAGCTCTAATGTTTTTCTACACATGCTTGTTTGCTTCTGTGTATTCAGCTTGTGCTTGGACTTTCTCTGCTCTTATTCGGGTGTTGTTAATTGCTGTCTTTTTGTTCTTCCTTTCTAGAATCTTGACCAGGGTTGCGATAGATATCCATTCCTTATGACGATGCTTCTTGTAACCCAGAACCTCCTGACATGTTGAAGTTAGTGCTTCTTCAATCGCCTTCCAAATGTCCTCCATAGTATTTTCTTTTGCTTTGGGTAGATCTTGTAAGTCTTGGAACCTATTGTTGAGAGCAACCTTAAATTCGTTGGGTTTGTCAGTATCTCAAAGGAAGGATGTATTGAACCTTTGTAATGCTGTTTCTCCAGTTGTCTAGTGCTTCTTTAACTTAAGTTTCATCTTGGCCACAACCAAGTGGTGATCTGAAGCTATGTCAGCTCCTCTGTTTGTCCACACGTCTTCCATTGATCTACTGAGTTTTTTAGTGATGTAAAAATGATTGGTGTGATTTTCTGTAGTGTGGTCCGGTGAGATCCATGTAGGTTTGTGTATGTATTTGTGTGGGAATATTGCGCCATCTTTAACCATTTTGTTGAATGCGCATAAATTCGCAAGTCTGTCACCATTCTCGTTTCTTTTTTCCAGTCACCTCATTTCGTCCCATGATATCTTGATACCCGGTGTTGTCCATTCCGAATTTGGAGTTTAAGTCTCCCATCGGGATAGTCAGGTACTTTCCCGGGCACTACTCTAAGATCGATTGAAGCCTGGCATAAGACTGATTTTTATAATCTTCATTACAATCATTGGTGGGTGCATAGCGCTGGACAACTTTTATTGTGATTTCCTCTTTTTTGTTTCCAAGGTTGCTTTGATGATTCTGAATCCATTAGGTTTACATCTTATAAGTGCTCTTCGTGCTTCTCAAGACAGCATCAGTGCAACTCAGTATGCGAACCATTTCCTACTTTATGACCAGCGTACAACAGCATCTCACATGAATCTATCCTTTTCAGTCCAGGTTTGTTCCAGTGGGTTTCATTGATTCTGAGTATCGTCAAGTTGTATCTCCCCATTTTCGTAGCTATTTGACTGGTCTTCCCGGTCTCCCACATTGTCCGAGCATTCCATGTACTTATTAATTGTTGCGCTGGTTGTTAGAATGGGCGTCGGCCTCATAACTTCCGAAAAATATCGGCTTTTACCATTAGGCGTCATAATTCCTTCGGGAAGATTCTTCAGCTCGGAGGGCAAAGTTTAAATGGTTTAAGTTGTTCATTTTGGTTAGTGTTTTTGGGCAAGGTTGATTTCTACAAGATGAGATTGCTGACCCCATTCCCAACCCTCCTCCTTTACCCGGACTTGGGACCGGAAGTAACACTAGAAGAGCTACAGGCGTTGTCAATCCATTCGATCCGTTAAAAATACTGTGGATGTAGTAGTGGTAGTTCATCCCTAAATTTTTATTGTGATCTTCAAAACACAAAGACCTGTGACGTTAAGCAATACGTAACTAAAATGAAAAAGCAAGATCAGACATGAGACCAGTGATTATGTAGATTTCGGGGGTTTAACTTCGTTTTTCCAAAAAAAAATTTTATTGTTTAATAATACGATCGCCGATGGTTTCGGTTCGAAGTCAAACTTGAAGTCAGAATATGTGACTAACTGGTTCGAAGACGAGCATTTTTAACTACTAAGAGGCCACTTACTTATTTGTAAAGGTTTGAAATAACGCTAAATCTTAATCCAAACAAAATAGGTGAAAAATAGAGCCCATTATCGACACTACAAAGTAAAGCAAAATAAATCATAATGATAGACTACATGTTAGTCTACATACTTCATCCTGAACAGAAACAATTACGTGAATATTGTTTATCGTGGACCGAAAATTAAACCCCTAAAAAAGAATATGAAAAGATATTTTAAGGAGAACTTTTAATCTTGTAGTAATCATGCACTAAACCTTTACACCACTTTACAGATAAGTCATTAGCAAACACATGGAAATAATAACAGAATGTAAAAAATAGTTGTTATTAGCGAAAGATTTATTAAAACAAATACTGTGACCACAATGGTCGATACTTAACAATTTCAAGCAATCTCTCGGAAAGCTTACTGATTGTCCTTGCCATTTTAAACCCGATGCAGTACTTAGAAGAACATGGATAAAAAGGTTCCACACTAGTGCAAGCAATGGATCTATGATGAAGTCAATCTAGGAACAGTAGAATATTGATTGGTTGCGTCAAATAATTGGTTTTCTCGCCAAACATCCATAAGTATCAAAATCGGAATCAAACTTGATAAACGCTTACTAACTCACCAATAATCTATTTAAAATAATCTCAAGCTTGAAAGGCAAGCAGAATAACTTATTTGATTTGTTTATATACATTGAGATTGATTGTTTCATTACGAGCTTTCATTCCACTTCTCAACAATTGTTTCGGAGTAACGAAATTTCAACGGTTGAGATGTCCGAGACATGTGTTACATATGTCCAACCACCGACTGCCTCGACAAGTGATGTTTTATGGTGTAGGAGTAGGTTGGAAGAAAGCTAGGGGCGGCCAGATCACAACATCGCAAAAATCCATGAAATCATTGACCAGTGAACTGAGCCATGTTGGTAGGTGTAGACTACCTGGTTGGGGACCGCGAGATGATAGCAACCGATGGTTAGAGACCTTAAATGATATGGCTCAAAATCGTTTGCTATGGCGCAGGTGCGTCCACTCTTTGTGTTCTCTCAAATTCTAATCTTCTGAATTCTTCATGTCCCTTATTTTTTCTCTTTCCAAGTTTATTTCACTGGATTATATTCCTTGAATAACATCTTCAAACCCTAATGTTTCCTATTACTGTTTATACTTTTACTACCTCTACCACTATGGGATTTGAATCGACAATTGTATCTCTGCGCTAATGCGGCATATGGCAACTGATGTACGAACGTACGAAGTTCTACGTTGTGACTGACTGAATTATTCCGGACTACGAAAGTATGTTCTATATGATTCGAAAATACGAATTAAGTATCTCCACTTTTTAAGATGTTTTACTAACAACAAACTACTTATTGTACAGATAGTAGATCTGCATGTTATGAACTCGGATGTATAGCAGCTACGACGGTCTACAATACCCTACTGAAAAAAACTAGTTATCTTTTTTTATTTTTATAAACCTAATGCATATCAAGTCCCAGAGTTCATATGGCACAAAAACGTATAGTCAGGACCTAGAAGTACTGAACGACCCATGAAATTCGTCGTATCATGAGGGCATACTAACAAATGTCCTGATTCCAGAAAATTTGGGGAGTAGTGGTTATAAAGGGTGGCCTTATAAATCAAGTATAAACTAGCTACTCACCTAACGGACAGTGAGAGAAATTTCCAGCATGAGACGGACTTCAATCTCCGTAAGAACATCAGTAGCATATCAGTTAAGTATAGTTGAAACGTAACTCAAGTAAACCAGTACTCAAGTATATAAGAGGAAAACAATACAACTGGTATCCAGAGATGCACAAACAAACATTACTACACGCTGACCTAAGCAAAATAATGTAGCATATTGTGATCAGGATATAAAGTATTACGGAATTTCAAAAGGAAGCTTACAAAATCAGCGGAGTCAAGTTTTCTTATTTGTACCATTTCGATGCCACATGGAGTTAGTAAGATGGAATCACTGCAGTTTTGCAGAACATCTTCGACACGGATTCTCATTGGTTCAATCTTAAATTATGATAATGAGTTTTCCGACATACATAATCGATTATCTCCTTAAAATGTTCATTGCATTGAGTACTTATAGCCTGCTGAGATAACCTATTGGTAATTATAGCATTCTCAACAAGAAATTGTCGGAATACAACCATTTCGGGAAGAAGAGAAAAAGGGGGTCTAGCTGAAAATATTTACTGTGTTACATACTAACCGCTCTAGCCAGGACGCAGCATTACCAATCGAGGACATTAGGTTCAGTATACAACTGAGAATGTAAGAAACAGCTCCCTGAATATCTGAAAGTATCCCCGGATAGGGACTATCAGCATCTTGTCTCTTAGTTATAGCCATGAGAGAATTTATTGCAGTAACAATGCATGTACACGAACGTGATACGCGCAATAAAACTGACTGAAGTGTTTCGTTATCAAAAGATGAAAATTGGTATTGTAGTTGCTTCACTTTCTCCAATATGATCATCTGATGGCCAATCTTGTGAACTCCATACTTGTCCAAAACATCAGCAGTCAGGGAGCTAAGCCACTTTCCACTTATATTTTTCGCACTGAATGCAGACAGATACGGCTCGACAGCATCGTCCAACCCTTAAACAAGTTTATTCAAAGTTTGTTTAAGTACCGGAAAGCCAAGATATGACCTGAGCGGTTGTCCAACTAAGATACGATTGTGGTTTCTCGAATTTGTCCATTGGAGCGCATATGGTTGACTTTTCGAATTGTTCCAAAATACAATGTTCAATATCGTTATGACCCAACGGTTCAAATGGTTGTGGACGGGATAAAAGATATTTCGATTACCGAACTTAGGTGTCTAGTAGCGGAGGATCACCAATAACTCTAAGCAGGAACCTCAGTTTATTAACGATAGTAGAAGAAAAAGAAATTGGAAATTCATAGTAAGAGATTACCCTTAGTCCCTGAGAATATATCAAGTTGCCTCTTGAAGGACTCCTGGAAAGTCGCCTGGACTAGCTCAGCCGGCAGCGAATTCCAGCATCTGACAACTCTATAGGAGTAGAAGTTATGTCAACAGTCCGTTCTTCTGTGTTGTGTCTCTAGTTTCTGGGTGTTACCCTTGAGGTTTGTGTTGGAGCTAAGTGTTAAGAATGCTGTAAATCACCACAATTTCACCTCTAAGACACTTATACTCTGATTGGTAAAGGTTCAGCAATTTGAGGCGCTCTTCATAGGGATTAAATTTTAGTCCCCAAATTGATTTCTTGGCTCACAATTGGATACGTTCCAATGTGTTCTTATCCTTTTGGATTGAGGGCAGAAACAATATACTGCCACGCTTTAAATGGAGTCGAAAAGACTGCTGAAGATTATGTGGAACGTTCCTCCATCAAACTGGCCAAAAATGCGCTTCAATGTTACGAGTGCAAGGTTTGCTCGAAAGGCATTTTTGTCACAGTTAGCGTGAGACTTCAGATCACAAGGTACCAACACTCCTAAATCTTTTTCAACTTGAGATACTTCTAGAAGGGAGTCGCCTAAGTTGTAGCTGTAATCTGCAACATGTCACCGATGAACTACTTTGCACTTCGGAGTGTCAAACGTATGTCCGTTGTTGTCCACACAACTTTGAGGGCGAGTCAGATCCTCCTGAAATGCCAATTTCTCCTTGTGGTTGTAAACTTCTCACCAGAGCTTAACATCATCTGACTATACCGGGTGTAAAAGGTGGTTTATATAAATCAAGGGTTATCATCCCAGTTAACACGTGTTTGTAGTTGTCTTTAGGGAGATCGAAGTCTTTTATAATCATAATATGAAAGTATCCGAGATGAAGAGTGCAAGAACATCCCTTCAGCACACAGTTGTAGTACCCTGCGTCAGCTGTGAGCTTCCTGCAGATGACTCTAACCAGAAAATTTAGTGTCAGACTATCTCACTGTGCACTAAACAGATTTATCAAGATTGATAATCTCTTGTGTGCATAATTGACATACTGCCAAGTAGATCGTGAGCACAAGACTGTTCTTTCCACAGTTTTCTTGTCATTGCAAGAAAAAGATACTCTGGGTATTGCCAGCCACTAGTTATTGATTAGAGATGATCATTTTTCAGGCATTCCAGTCAAATTTATATTGTTAGCCCTGCCTAGTTCAGTAAACTGTGTTCGTTAAACTCTCGATGTTCGTATATGAATATTTGGTGCCTTCGATTCGGAATGCTTGAATGTTTTTTCCCGATTATCTAATTAGGTCTTATGTGAATGGATAAAAAACCTACCCAGATAGAGCTTTTCGAGCAAAAAGTCACTGTCCTCTTCATATTTTTTCCTCATTCTTCATAGTCCACGAGTGTAATAGTCAGTTCCAGCTTTTTTTTATCCCTAATCCTTGCATCATGTGTCCCGTGTAGGTGATGATTGATGACTGATGTTTGTCTGTACAGAATGCTTCCAGAGTGGCGACCGCTATTTGGAATTTCACTCTAAGATATCACCGTCTGCATAATCAGGGTCCATGTTTTTTAGGATACTTCTCACTATAATATTTCTTTCGCGAAAAATATCTCGCGAGATTCCCTTGAATTGTTTCTGATAAGATTGCTCCCACAATATTGTATATCAGGCAGTATCCTTATATTCTCACTTGATTTCAGCAAGTGGCTGGCCAGTAGAATATCCTCCACGTTAGCAGTGTTAGCAAACATTGTACGAAGAACTTTCGAGTATGATATCCTTCCTCCAGATAACCCCGTACTCATAAGTGGCTCTATTTTGATAAGTTCAAGCTACCACTTTAAATTATCCCAAAGCATCCTGCTGCTTTTGTTCTGCAGATTGAGGGGAGTGTCAGAATCGTACTTAAAATTCGTTATTATCAGAGAATAATCATGGTCGTTGGTCGGTTAACCAGTTCTTTGAGTACGTTGGGGTCGGAGTCCTTTTGTTTGGCTGTTGGGGTGTGGTACAGATCCCAGTGTTCTTTGTTAACTGGTTGGACAATCTTAAATGTATATCGAACGCCTTATTCATTATCTGATTATTTTTTTTGAAGCGAACTGTTCAGCATTTTTGATAATGGTCCTCGTTTCTTTTTAACCTTGTTAACGAAACTCCAATTGCTTACAATGAAGTTATTCGGAATCACAGTAGCACCTTGAGGGTCTGTACTGGGGAGCCAAGTGTACTGTGAAAGTCTAACGCCACCGATTTTGTGGCGGTGAAGATTTTCAGTCAGATTTTCACTCATGTTGGAGCTTGTTCCGTCAGTACCGTTGTCGAAGTCCTTCTCCTTCACCTCATTGCACGTCTTTGTTTGTCTATTAGTTTCAGGACCGCTTTTCCGGAGTTGCCAACAATATTTTACAAACCTGTAAGGAGAAAACTGACATTGTTGAGTAAATGCTCAGAGTTCATTTTACATGTACCATATACCCACAAGCTATCTTACTTACCAAGTTTGTCGTAACCAGTTACTGTAAAGTCACTGCATTCCCTGTGCAATAGATCTTTTCACCTGTCACACTGCATACCATAGATGATAATTAAATGAGACCCAAGTCGTTAAAATATTATCTTGGTGACCGCGGAGAAATATAAGTTGTTACACAATTTTGTGGTTAAGAAATAAACAGTAGACTCAAAACGAATAAAAACGGGTCGTAAAAAGACCTATGATGCATCAAAACTAAACTTTGACATGACAAACCGTAAATCTGAAAAGTAAGCTGACTCGAAATCTCAGTCAAATCTATAATCTAGCGAACATCATCTACAGATTATTCTGATCAAAAATCGCAGTCCTTTTGCACAGGGAAAAGGCGGAAGTTTGAGAGACAAAAATGGAGTTAGGGTAAAGCTCAAGCGTTAGTCCTAGGGTAGTACGGTCTCTGGAACCAGCAAGCATCATATTTCCAGTCAGTTGGTTGGTTACAATGTGAGAAATAACAGATGAAAAATTTGAATACGGAAGAAAAAAGAGCAAGCAATTGCCCAAAACAATTAGTTGATGAATTACATAAACGATACTTGTTGATAGAATTTTAGGGCATAACAGATGGGCCATTTAATAATTAAGACTTAAAGATTATTGATTTGAAATTTGTATCTAAGAGAGAGGGCATATATTTGAGGTAATACTGGACAATACTGAATAATACGCTGAATAGGAGTCCACTAATGACCCTACAAAAAATATAAGAACGAAAATAAGCCGAAACAGCTCTGATGAAAGAAACAAAGAAGATGTGGCCATTTGTGTGTCCAAATACTGTTTTTCGTACTGTATTTTAAAACTATACATAATCCTAAACTTTAAGGTTTTTTTCGAAGCGCTTTCATTTATACAGTTGTTTATCCGTTCATTACTATGCTTAGGGCTGTTTTCTTTAACCTATTAGAAAGTTCTTGCTTGGAAACTAACTTAATAAAAAAGAATAAGTCTAAGTAGTTATAACTTCATTACTCCATGACAAATGACACAATTTCGGTTGCTATGATCATTGTATGCTCTGCTTCCTGTGTTTTCTCTTATAACTCTCCTTTTCAGCTACCTCGTGATATGCCGCCAAAAACCCATGTGGAACATGTGACTTCGTCTTGAGCCATTATCAATAGTTCGGGTATTCCATAAGGATGTATGGTTGCGTTTTTCAGAAGATCTCAACTTTACGTGGATTCTTTTTCGACTATCAGTTGCACATCCCAACTCAACCTCTGTAAAGCACACTAACCCTTACATTGACAGTTAGAGTCCTTATAACATTATTTGTATTCAAATTTGACAGGTGTTATCCTCCCCTGATTCTATGATCAGTATGCCATATAACATATCAACCTAACTAGGTGACTTATCACTGTGAAGCCTTTATCATATGTAAAACTTTGATCTTGTCTGTGAACTGACATACCTCATGTAATATGTTATTATTATCAGTAGTAGTATTCGTACATGTTTGCATTTACGTGTCCAGCTGTCACACTAATATTACCCAAACTAGCGTTCAGCTCAATTGTCAATATACATAAGAGCGATGTTATGAAACATTTGAACCACTGAAAATATTCAACTTCGACACCGTACTTGATTTTATCAAGTACTGTTTCCCCATGGCTGTGTTATTACAAATGATTTCGGTACATCAATTAGCTGTTCAAATACCCAATGGTTTGAAACTTGTGCAGTTCAATTGGTGGTTTGACGACACGTTCATCCACAAAGATCATCAGATTACACAGTCGATAGGATCTCTTGCGAAGTGAAAACAACATTGTCACCTATACTATAACATTGATAGTGTTTCGCACCAGTATCGTTGACATGAGTTCAGGGTGACACACTTGGTTTCTTCGATATTTTTTCTGTTCTCTTATTGAACAAATATGCCGCACTCACAGGTTATAATATTTTAGACACAATGTCACCAAGCCACTCCCGATCTGTAGTCTACAACATTAAGTGATTGTAATAGCAATCATCAGCTTCACAAACTGTGGTTACAAAGTGATCTATAACTTCGTACGACGAAGTAACGACTTGTTCAAGGTTATACTCTTGCGCTTTCAGCTAAGCTGCTGAACATATATAAATTGAATTCGACACATACGTGCAGTAAACTGTCCACGGCACAGACTGATCTTCTGCATTAAGTCGATTACGATACTAACATCAATTGTTGATACACACATCGTACTACCATTGTAGTAATACTGAGCTTGCGGCTAACTAAAAGTTGCTTATCTGAGGAATTTAATAACTTATCAACGCAGTGTATTCCCACACTGCCTGGTGGTACTTTAAAACGTTATAGTTTCTTGATTATCGTCGTTAATTGCCTGATATTTAACTAACCTAAAAGTCATACTTCTAAGCTCATCGACAAATGTAATATCACAGATTTATTATTACTCGGTATTTCCAGACCGGCTTGTGCAACTTCCTTCTCATTTGTCTTACAGGTCGGTGATACTCGACGGATTCTTGTTCGTCGTTTGGCAGCCTCCGGAGTGCAAATCCCCCTGACATGTTTGGTACTAATTCAAACGGCGGTTGAATCTGGGGGAGAGTATTGTAGGGCCAGTAAAATGTTACTGAGCCCTAGCCAACTCATCAGGCAGTTGAGCCGCTGAATATCAAACGCCCTATCTATCTTCGTCAAAACCAAGGACGAAGAACGCTCATCAGTTAATTTCATACCATGGATCGGCCCACGAGGTTGTGGTGCACTCTATTTCTCGTATCACTCTTACTAATATATTTCTGTAATAACATCGTTTGTGTTGTCCGGTCACCAAAGCAGCCACAAAACCTGAATACGACGAAAGACTAATCCTCGTTAGGTACTGACCGAAAAGTGTGACTGCGACGTTTGTTGATTGGTCTAACTCCAGTAGCTACTTCAGCCATGTACATAAACTGGAAGCAGCACACAAAAATTTGGGAAATTCTGAACTTTTTATGATCGGACATAGTTGAGAATCACTCAGAAGAACAATGGGTTATATTTTTACTTGTATTAAAGAAAAGATGGGACTTGACGCATTTTAGGAAAATCAATGCGTCTTTAAATATACTAGGGTTCCGGAATCTGAATATGAGGGTTAGAAGCATAAGACTATAATTAATAGAGAGTGAATTATGGGAGAAAGGAGATCATATGTTTTATCGTCTGATTATGCGCATATGAATGATAATGGAGGTCTTTTATATTCATGATCATGAGATGGTGGAGAAGATTTATAGCTCAGGTGGATGATGTCGTTCAGAAGAACGATGAAAGCTCCACGACCAAACCATCCAGCTCAGAGAACAAAACACCACCAAAATATTCATGATCAGTCTATATGTTAGGCGTTACATAATATACTTCTTTATTATTGGGTGGGAGTTCAGGAAATAATTGTTGAAGCTCTTTAGGATATAGAAACATGGTTTTTAGTTTTTCGAACTTGGTGGTAGTGTCACAGTTACGGACAGGCACTAGCAACCTGTTCCATAATGAGCCATACCGTACTGTGAAAAATTTACAGCGCATTGGTTCTTGTTGTTTTACAGTAAGTAATATATATATGTTTTTTACCAATCCTGTAGGCATGGTTGAGCGGGAGGTTGGAAATGAGAGTCCGTATGCTACTTTGTAGAGTAATATTAGATTGTTCCTTAACCAACGGCACCATAGAGGTTCTAAGGAGAGGTGCCTACGTCCACCAGTGTGGTCAAGAGAGGAGTCATATCCTAGCAGTCGACGCGTGGAGTGTCTTTGGACATCTGCCCTTATCTCGCCAATGATATTCATGTTCGAGGAAATAAATGGGTAGCATTCAAAAAGAGACGTATATATGATTTGTACAGGTTGATCTTAGCCTCTGTGGCGAAGATCTCGTGAACTCCAGAGGTCGTTTAGATATTTGCCGAGCTCTTACTGCATGTATATAATTTCAGTCCACCCATGTCTGTAAGGCAAAAGATTTTATTAAATTACAGCTCCCAACGGTCTAGAGATATTTTACTAAACGATGTTATTAATGCTACCTTCTTATTCCAACCAACTCTTTGACTCACGTCTGTAACCTTGAAGTGGCTTTACTTCCTACCGAGAAATCCTATTGCAAGCAAAACTGGACAATTACACTTAGTAATAGTCTAATGATGACTCTACTAAGGTGATAAATAAAAACGATTTATAAAAATTTTGACCAAAAAGCCAGTTAGTATTCGAACACTGTATTTTCCTCACTAAATTTTTAAAATACACATAATTCTATACTTTTAGCTCTTTTAAATCACTTCCATTTGCACAATCTTGTATTCACTCAACTTCATACTGTGGCTTGTTTTCTTTAACCTGAAGAAATATACAGTTACGCGCGCTACGGATTGGACGTTACTTTCAGGCCGAGGTTTTTAGTTTTATTTTTCTAGGATTTTCGCAGAGCTGGATGAATTATTTTTTCTTGGAATTATGGAAGTTAACTCTATTCTTAACTATTAACATATAAACTGTGAATTTCATGCCATATGATAAGTTCTGAGTTTAACTTACAGTATTTATGATCATATTCATACAATAATTCATAATCATATAATTACATATATTCATTCTGACTGTACGATCAAACTATACTTTGTCACTTTGAAACCATATATAATCATATTTGACGAAGATTTGCATTCCATATCTGTATTCTATTTCTTAAGGAATATATGGTTATATCGTATTTGAATGCCTTAACCCACGTACTTTATGTATCTACAGGATCTATTCAAATCTCTACCTAATATCAAAAAATATATATAACCGTGTATGTTAAAGGACTGTATTCACTATTTTATGAATTATCATTTAAATCGTATTTGGATACTATAAATTATTTCATTTTCGAAATTACCTGTCCAATTCGGTGAGTCTGTCATAGTTTTTTTGGCAGTGGTTTTTTCCAAAAAGCTGTTTCATATATTTGTACAAGAAGCAACATAATAATCCTAGACTGTAATAATCTTCTAAACTACTTATCTCTGCACCTCCCAATTTTTACTAATACGAACTTTCAGTTTATATATGTATCGCGTACCGTACTTTCTTGATTGTTTGATACTAATTAACGACATTTCTAAATTACTTTACTATATAAGGCCATCTTTCGTGTCATATATATGTTAAAATTTATACAACTTGCTCCTTTATATTCTATTTTGCCTCCACACAGTTACTGACATAAATACTTCATCTCCACCACTATCTTCCTGCCATTGTCATCTTTTGTTTTTAACACCACTAATCCTCACGATACATTCACTCTTAGTTAAAACATAGATTTTGATTTTTAGACTAACTTGAGCCCTCGGAATTGATTTTTTTCACCCCTATTTCCAACATTCTGTTCAATCCACTTGCTATACGTCACTTTCTTATCATGCCACAAAAGAAAATGAAGACCCCTGCTCCTAGGCGTTCAGCCAAACGTAGGACAACGACACAATTTAACACCACTACTGACACGATTTCCAACAGTTTCAATGAGACGAGCCACTCCGTTCATCCGGAAGCAGACAAGCTTTTACCAGTTGTCTCCATTCCAGACATGTTGAAAACTCTGCTGGTAAACAGTGATGATAATCGCAACTGCAACCATATGGATGCTATAAAAAAGTTGCAAGTAGACATGAACATTCTCAGTCCGCTTAAATATCTCATCAACCCCAACCTCACAGAGACTCCAGATCAAATGAAAGACATAAATATTTTCCTAGATCGTGTTGCATCAGAGGTATTTGAAAGAATAAGACGATCTAGCAATGCAATTGTGTTTAATATACCGGATACACATGCCCTTAAAAATATCAAATCTAGTCTGCTAACAAACGTACCATGTGTATGCACAACATTAAAAAGAAGTCATCCTGGTATGCACTCACCGATCTTGTTCAAATTCAACTCATCTGTAGACTCCAGTGAGTTTTTAAATTCCTCCAATTCATTGAGACAAAAACAGATTTTCAAGGATATTAAGACTCTTCCGGATAAAACACCATGCCAGCGAAAAGCAGGAAGAAATAACTACGGACCATCAGCGTCAAACTCTCAAACGCATCATAATCCTAATGGCTGTAAAGTTAAGTCCGATTCTATGAGGACGTCTGGCTTAACAACTTTGCCGCCACCGAAAAACTATTCTGAATCTCATAAAGTTCAAAACACAGAAGAAAGTAATCCCGATGTAGGTGGTGTTCATCCTCTTAAAAATGTTGACTTAGATTCAACCCGAAGTAGTTGTGCTGATGAAGAATGGGATAACACAATCCAAACCGCTGTTAGTGCAACACCCAGTTACAGTAACTGTGCAACGGATAACAGGAAAACTAATCATAACATTCATATAACTGACCACGCACTTAACGTTGATATATTCGAACCTCGCAAACCATCGCAAGTATGTTTAACAGTACACAATCCTCTCCAACTTATGAAGAAGCCGAAATCAACCACAAACCTTGGAAATAAACGTCTTAACCACGTTACCCATACGTCAGGTATAAATAGTTATCCGAATTGTAATTGGCCACTTGGTCACAACCATAGACCTGATAGCCTTCTTGGTCCGGCTCCCAATATGTACAGTATGCCCTTATCAGATGTTATATCCAATGGCAATGAGAAAACTTTTTTTGTAATTCCGCCGGCTTTCCTGCCAGCAACGGTAAACATATTTCACATGATGACAAAGTGGTTGAATCTATTTCCCCTCGCAACACGACTCTTACCTTAGCTAATCCTATGAGTATTCATGGAACTGCCAATTGCGATTTAAATAGACCCATACTGGGACGAAACATCTATCAAAATCTTGTTGGCTATTAATGTGACCCCAGACTCAAGTTCTGGTTCACGGTATGGACATAGATTCGCCCCCGAAGGCCCTGGTATGGCAGAGAGTGCGGAGAGTCCGCTCTCCCTCTCAAAATGCTTTCACACGGCCACGCGTATACAGCCTCTGCCAGGGAAGTCCTACTCACCGCCTTATGGCGAGGGTGTTGTTTATGAAATTGAGGGGACGGTAAGCGAATGTCCGGCGCTTTAACCAGATTACAAACCAATGGTGCACATGGGTTCCAGTATCCTGCGGAAACATATGGCATATGAACCAATAGTTGGTCACTGGCAATCATGGGACTGCATCTCCTTACGATGCTCCACTGCCTTGTGGGTCAGACCTTTAGGTGAAATGCTCTGGGTGTGGCCCCCTAAGATAACCACCTGCTTCGGTTTGGGCACTCGAGCAGTATCCCAGGATAGAGTTAGATGGAGAATGCTGGTATGAGGCCTATACTCCTCCACGAGGAGTAACAGGCGTAAGTAAGTAAGTAAGTAATGAAATGTGGACGAGATCATAATTTATGGATGAACCGATGAACTCTATCGATTTCGGTACAAAGTTCATTAAATCCACATGATAGATATTATCAGCTGATAATGATGATAACTCTAACTCTACTTACTAACAATAACTTCTTAATTGTTCATATTAATTTATAACATTGATTTGACTTTATTAAGTAGGTAATTTTGTCTTAAGGTCACTTTAATTAGTGAATGTTTATGATGTACTCATAACAACAACATACGTATTTTATATAATGAATTGAATAGTTGCCTCAATAGTTCATACAAGCACATGAACTATGTTGCCAACTATATAGATAACTTCATTTGGCATCGTATATAGTTATGAATAAGCATTCACAAAGAACTTAGATGTATAATTGTGATGATTGTTTGATTTTGTTTCTTTGAATATATAGATCATATGATCATACGATCGTACAACAAAATAACATGGATTACTAAGATAACAAAACCATAATTAGACCATAATTAAAAATTCCATTGTTTGTTTATTATTCATTTATTTATTTTAATAATTTAAATGACGAACTCAACTCAGCTAGACTATTATCAGAAACTAGAGAGGACTAATTAACTGTTTCTTAATAGTATAGGACTATTCAACAGTGAGCATTCATTATCCACTATCAATTAGGAATCTAATTTAAACCATTCGGTCCCATGAGCGAATGCTTATGATGTAGATTACTTAACCGACATCCAATAATGTCGATGTATAACTCATACAATGCTCATCTCTTATCTTCGGTGGATAACTGTCTCATAACCGATATCATTAATCTCCACTAGTCAATATTTCTTAATAGAACTACGCGAGAGACTGAAGGCCTTGCGTTTGAATCCCGAGAGCGGGCATGTGGATGCGCACTTCTGAAGAGTCTCACGATAGTACGAAACGGCCATCCAGTACTTCCAGGTTTTCGATGGCAGTTTAATATCAATTGGTTCTTGATCTCAATCAATAACTTAATAATCTCCACAACCCCATACTGAGAACTACATGAGTCGTGTCATGATTATTACTGGTAGATAACTACGTTTTCTTTAGAACCGATAGATGTCATGGAATAGTAGGCGGTACAATTATCTATGTCCGTTCAGAAATTCAAGCGTGCAAATTTGAGGATATATCCCTTGATGCTATAGACGACTCCACTTGGGTTACTGTAAACTGTGGATCCCAAAATTATTTACTGGTGGGATGCATATATAGACCACCTCATGCGGATACTAAGTTTGACGGATTACTAACAAACATATTTTTCATTGCTTCGCACCAACCGCATACTTTTAAAATCATCGGAGGTGATTTTATTCTGCCAAAAATTACATGAGGCTTGACTCCGGTACCGGGTCGATATAACAAGCTAGTTGAAACATTAGAAATTTGTGGATGGGTTCGACAGGTCCGAAAACCAACCAGGGGGAATAATACACTTGATTTAATGTTCACAATCAACATAGACTCCATCTCAGTGCATACCAGTCAGGAGTTTTTTATGAGTGACCATAGAATTGTATTGAGTATTATTCACTCTTCAAACGCCATACAATTGAACTCTAATGCTTTAATGACGTACCAGAGCAGACATTTTGATCAACAAACATGGAAACGGACTGAAACTCTTATTCAATGTTTACCATGGGAAACGTATTTTACCACAAATAATGTTGACATTGCGCTTTCCAATCTATACAACAACCTGATATATTGTCTCGACTGCACTGCTCCAGTTATTGGCCGTGTGGCTTATAATGCTAATAGGGGCCGAAATACTTTTAAAAGAAAGCTGAGGAAATTAAAATGCCGCCACTACGAGCAGAATGATGTGTATGCACTTCAGAGTATACTTAAATTAATCAACAAAAATGCTTCATCTAAACGTAAGTATTTTATGTATATAGAAAATGAAGCTCTACGTAGTAAAAGCCCAGAATTATCAATACTTCGGCTTTTTAAATCCCGTGTAAAGTCAAATTCCCTTGGCACGACTAAATTCTTCATAATTAACGGAAGCATTGTTAACGACCCGAATACTATATGCGAACAATTCAACAAGCACTTCTCGCAGTGCTACAAAACTGGAACTGAAAACTCCATCATTACATTTCCAATGCTGACATCCAGACATCTGTCGGAAATTGATTTTACACCCTCCAACATCAAGTAGGCCATAGCTGCCCTGAAAAAGTCTTATGATGGTGGACCTGACAGGATACCTTCATCATTTATGAAATATGGAAGTACAGAATTTCCACTATTTTGTTTGAAACTTTTCAATCTATCTATGGAATATGGGACCTATCCATCTGTGTGGAAAACATCCCTTATCACCCCTAGATTCAAAACAGGACCACGTAGTGATATTATTAACTATAGGCCAATTAATTTGACATCCGTGCTCTCAAGAACCATGGAAAAAATCATCCACAAACAGCTATCATCATTTTTACTTTCGGCTAGTCTGATCAGCCCATCCCAACACGGGTTTATGACTAAACGCTCATGTTTCACATCGCACCTGGAGTTTTTTGATCAAATTACCCAGAGAAGAGATGTTGGTCAGTCAGTGATAGTTCTTTACTTCAATTTTAGTAAGGCTTTCGACAGTGTCTCACACAAACTTCTTCTTTTAAAACTCTCTTCATTTGGCATACAGAATCCCCTTTTATCTTGGCTCAAATCTTTTTTATAAGAACGTAGCCAAATCGTTCGTTTTGGATCTTGCTGCTCTAAACCTGTGAATGTAACCAATGGGGTTATACAAGGAAGTGTGGTTGATCCATTACTCTTTCTCCTTTTTATCAATGATGTGTGTTCCCTCTTTTAGTATGGTAAGCCTTTCCTTTTTGCTGATGACCTGAAAGTTGTTTACTTATTCTCTTTTCCCACGAAAGAAAGCTATATTTCAGCGGTAATCCAAGAGGAAATAAACAAGTTGTACGAATGGACTATTTCGTGGAATATGCCACTTAATGTTGACAAAAGTGGATTTATTCACATTGGTCTCTGTTTTAACTTAAATCTGACTGTACAGACACATACACTCAAACCTCTCAACACTGTTCGTGACCTGGGTTTAAGATATAGCAACAGTCTGAACTTTTCTGAATACATTATATATCAAGTATCCAAAGCTAGAAAGCTCATCGGATTGATTATGATAAACTTCAATAATATCGAATCGAGATTGTTACTATACAGAAAATGTATCTTACCCATTCTTGAATATGGTATTTTAGTTTACAGTAATTGTAGACATAATGACCTGATTAGAATTGAAGGTGTTCACAGAAAGTTCACCAAAGCTGTTCTGGGGTATTCCGATAACAAAGACTATTACCAAAGATGTCAACAACTCAACTTAGAACCTCTTTGGATCAGACGTATCAAATTAAATCTTGCCTTTATCTACCGGCTTATTAACGGTATTTCCTACTCCTCGGTATCCACCCCTTCATACCTTATGATATCATCCCACTATCTGCGCAATAAGGAGAATATTCTAGCGATTCCAAGGACCCACACAAACTTACGTCAGAATTTTTTCCTTATTCGCTACTCAAGCATGTGGAACAGACTGCCAGTGAACCTCCGATGCAGTGAAACTACAACCCGGTTCAAAAGTCTCCTTGACAATTTTCTTTCCGGAAGTGGATTATGTCACCTATTGAATATCAATGTATTCAATAATGATTTATACAAACAAGGTCCGTCATCCATTTAACTGCTTGAAAAGCAAAATAAAACCTTTAAATCTTTCCACGCCTATTTTATTTTATTTCTATTTATCTTAATATATGAAATCTGATTATGTTTGTGTTTATCATTATTACCGTTATTAATATCATTATTAGTTCCCCGACACATTAGATATTCTTTTTGTATCTTCTAATCCTTCTAAACATATTTAACTCCAGATTGTCCTTCAAAATCAATTTTGACTTTCATAGCATCATTCTTAATTATTATTGCACAAATATTTATACTAATATCCGGTTTCACTCTGTATACTATTACATAAATCTAAATGTATTCATCCGAGTGCTTTAGAGGATTTTTATTTTATTTTTTCAATTGCTGATTTCCTTGTGAGGTTGATATTCATTACACAATTATTATTCTTACCATGGATCAAAACTTTTCACTAAGTGTTCACTTCTTTTCTCTCTTCTTTCCCTCTAAATAAATATTATTCTTAAGATTACGAAGTTTGTAATTAAGACAATAAGTTGTGTTATACTTACATTAACTTCTCAGACCTGTTTTATATTCACTATGCATATATGTCTCATACATATTGATATTTTATTATGGTTTTCACTCATTTGAGACTTTCATCGCATCACTCCAAACTATAACTGCACAAACATTTATTCTAGCGTCATATCTTACTGCAATTATAAGTTATTTTTTCTTAATTACTTTTGTTACTAATTTAACGATACACGCATAGTCGTTTATTCTTGCTCTGTGTTCATAAACACGCCTATTAGACTGTTTGCGTATTTCACGTTTCCTTTATTTCTATTCCCTTATTTTCTCCATTTCCTTCTTTAAACTCAATTCAATATTCTTCTCGTTTACACAGACCCG